CTCGATGGCACATAACAACAACAACAACCAACCAACAAAGAGTGGGGGAACAGCCAATAGTCCCAGAGACTGTCTCCCAGCCATTTTCCCACCTGAATCTGGAGCACCGCCAGGTCGGCATCCAGCGCGCTCTTGGTAGGCAGTAATTTCTCTGTGACGTGAATCTGCCTTTGCTTCTCTGCGATCTTCAGTTTCAGGAATCGGATCTTTTCTTCGAGGATGTGTATTTCAATCTCTCCATTTAGTTTCATCTTCTCTTGGATATTTATTTTTTCATAAAAAATGCACACTTCTTCTTCTCGCTCTATCAGCTGAACACCACTAAGGCCAAATGGAAAAGCAGAGCCTGAGAGGGTCTGGGGGCTACTGTTTGGCAAATCATTTGAGCTCCCTCTGCTTTGGGCGCAAGACACACATTGAGATTGTGTAATTCCAGAAGACAATGGATACTTACTGGGGGTTTTCTAGTGAAACCATAAACAGATTTTTCCCCCCTAGAGAAAAGTTCTGTTATTCTGTTGTACATAGGGTTTTCAGGGGCCTGCTATTTTGGAAGTGGATGGCCAATCCTTCTTCCTAGTGTGTCTTAATCTGAATGTTCAGATTTAGAGAATTATCCAACAGATCAGCATTTTACAGAAAAAGTGAAAATATATCCCTTATTGTGGAATTAACCATTAGTTTCGGTGTTGTCCCTGCCCTTGGCACAAGTGTCCTGACCCACTTATTTCTTTGTTCCACCATCGGACAAAGATTCTCACCACTGGACCAATTGGCAGCATCAGGATGGATGGTGAAGAGATTGAGATTGTTCACAGCTTTAGTCTGCTTGGCTTCATAATCAACACTCTTGGCACCAGAAGCCAGGAAATTAAAAGACGTATTGCGATGGGAAAGTCTGCTGTTAGGGACCTCTCTAAAGTACTGAAGAGCAACGGTGTCTCTCTGGAGACTAAGGTGTGTCTGATACAGGCCATGGTCTTTGCAATCACTTGTTATATGTCAGAGGACTGGACAATCACCAGGGAGGATAGGAGAATTGATGCTTTTGAGCTTTGGTGTTGGAGAAGAGTGTTGAGGATACCATGGACTGCTAAGAAAATAAACAGATTCATCCTGGAGAGGGTTAAACCAAGCTGCTCCTTGGAGGCAAGGATTCTGAGGCTTCGTCTAACATACTTTGGACATGTTGTAAGGAGAGACCAGTCCTTGGAGAAGGACATCATGCTTGGGAGGGTGGAGGGACAGCGCAGGTGGGGAAGGCCCTCTATGAGGTGGATTGATTCAGTGACTGGGATAATTGGGATGGGAGTGTCAGAAACAGTGCGATTTGCACACGACAGCAGAGTTTAAGGTTGTTGTACATAGGGTCGCTGTGAGTCATAAGCGACTCGACGGCATATAACAACAACAACAGAGAAAAGTTGTTGTTAGGTGCCATCAAGTCGAGTATAGCTCATAGTGACCTTATGAACAACAGATCTGAACGCTGCCTCCTCGTCATCCCCACAATCTCTGCCATTCTGACACCCACTGTGGCAGTGGCTGTGTCACTCTATCTCACTGAGGGCCTGCCTTTCTCTTGTTGACCCTCTACCTTTCCCAGAATGATGCCTAAGGATTGCCACCCCCCCCCAATATGCCCAATTAAATTAAAGCGAGGTGGAGGCTCCTCATCCTTGCCTCTAAAGAGCAGTCCGGTAACACTTCCTTCAAGACAAATTTGAGCCAGTTATCATCTCAAATAACAGTCCACGCTGCTGACTGGCCATAGCATCTCTGCAAGTCTCAACGGTTTCTCTGGGGTGGGAGACAGTGCCATTCCCAACACAGGCTCAAAGTATTCTTGTGGTCTGATTTTCTGCCGACCCTGTTCTTGGGCCAGGTGTCAATCAAGGCACTGCCCACGTCAGAGACACGGAGGCACAGAGACATGGGGCCAGGGAATATATTTCTGCAGCAATTCGACTCTGTCTTACTTGGCTGGCTCAGTATGCTTTTAAAAAGGGAATATTTTGGATGCTGATTTCCCCTGTAAACAGACAATTCTGTCCTTTGCAATCATGCCAGGGGAAAGGCTTCTTAAAGAAGAGCATAAGAGGAGGAAACAAAGTAAGAAATTTCTAAATCCAGCGGCTTTGGTTTTCATGGCTGATCTGACTGGGGCCTGGGAGAGAGCATACTGTTTACCCAAATGCTTTGGTTTGTGCCAGGAACCAAGTCAGAGAATTTCTCTCCCCCACCCCTCCAGAGAATACACCAAGCAGCCCTTTGAAAACATGCTGTTCTATTAATGACCCTGAAGGCCTTTCCACATTCTATGTGTATCTATTTAGAGCAGACTTCCACTTATAATTGTTCCTATCTATTTTCCTGTCCTCCCTCAAAACATTTGTACATGTTATAACCTTGGCTCTGTATTTTGCCTCACTTCCCTTTCATTGGCTTCTGTCCTGAGCAAACTCTTCTGATGACAATGTTTTATTTTTTCTTGTATTTTCAGTGTCTGGTACCCAGGGCCTTACACTGAAAGTGAGGCTTGTGATTAAAGCTTAATGAAAAATCTGATACGTGTTCAGCTGACCCTTGAACGGCTCTTGAATATAACTGACTGGAGAGAAGAACCGTTTGCGTGGAGATGTGCATTAGGTGTTTAAGGCTGATGGTCACTAGCACTTTGAGAATATCAACGGGGGGCGGGGGAAGTTTTCCCCATATAAGTAGATCTGTGCAGTTCAAATCTATGTTCTAAGCACAACTCTGATGACTACAGGATTCTACAATCTCACATTCCAGCTTTCTCAGAGCACAAGCAATTTGGGGAGCCCTCTAAAATGGAATTTATTAATTGCTAAGAAAATAATGCAGCTCCTAATGGCTTTATTTAATTGTTGAGAAAGAACTAAAAGAAAGGCTCAACAAATATCCTAAGACCAAATTTGTCACCAACATGGATCCAAGAGGCAAAGAATTACTTATGTTAATGATCCTGAGGGAATCTGATAGCATCAGAGGCATCCTAATAATCAGCCTACACAAGGTTTTTGATAACAAAGTGAGCACCTTCTCAAAAGCTCCCTCATTTCTTACACCAGGAGGGTCCAACTCATAGCAACCCTATTACCCAGTGCCTTAGAGTTGACTCTGGATTGAGAAATGATTTCACACAATGGAATACTACGACATTCACACAATGGAATACTATGACATTCACACAATGGAATACTACTCACCATGCAGGAGTAAAGATTTCAAAAATTACTACATAACTTGGGAGGGACTGGAGAACATTTTGCTAAGTGAACTCACTCAGTCCCATAAGGACAAATACTGTATAAGGCCATTAATGTAGAAACAGATAACTAATAGAATGTGTCTGAGGATCCAAGGCGAGAGGGTAGGAGCAGAGGGGTAAGGAAGGGCAGGGCAATAATCATAGGGTCACACAATTCGATGGATAGAGGGAGGAGTGGGTAAAGGAAATGGGAAAGATCTGGCAGGGATCTGGAAAGACAGGGCAACAGTCAGCATATTTCAGTGTTGATGAATTTTATAAAATATAATGAATGAGAGTGACTGCATGAAACACAATGTGAATAAAGATAGTGTAAAAATGTATACAAACTCTGTAAGCAAACCAGTATGAAACAAAATTATAAAAAACTAACAAACCAACCCAGTGATCCTCTATTGCATTTCCAAGGCTTTATGAGAGGAGACTGCTCATCCTTCTCCTGTGGAGCACCCAGTGGATTTGAATTTCTATTAGTTACCCACAGAGCTATGCCACCAGCATTCCTTAGAGCAACCCTTTAGGACAGAGTCAAGCTGCCTCTTACTGTTTCCAAGGCTTAAATCTTTATGGAAGCAAACTGCTTCATTTTTCTCTTGAGAAACCCCTGATGGGTCTGAACCATCTTACGGCAGCAGTTGGATGCTTTAAGCATGGTGCCACCACCAGGCACCAAAACTCCTTCCCTTCCTTCTGACTTTTGTTATTGTTGTGTGCTGGTAAGTCAAAACTGACTCACAGCTGACCCTCCAGTGGGTTTTTAGAGGCTGTAAATCACATAGGAGGAGACCGCCCATTTCTCACCCACAGAGCAGCTGGTGGACTTGAGCCATCTGCCTTTGGGTGGACAGTGCAACTCTTTACCTACTAGACCATCCGAGCTCTTCCTTACCAGACGATATCAAAGCAAAGGTAAACACACACATCTCACTCCCTTAAAAAAAACCCAAACCAAATCACCCAACAACAACAACCCCTCAAATTTCAAATTCAATAGACTCCCCACTGTCAATCTTAGGTAGAAAAAGCAGCGCCATTTCTTTCTTTGTGCCGGCACAGGCTCCTGGTCTTTACCATTCATTTCGGTGCTGCACGGCTTTTTCATATCTTTTGCGAAGCTGCACCATCTCCTCCTCAATCATTGTGATCATACTGGCCAGCCTGTCAATGCTATTCAACTGAATCTCCTTCTTCTCTTTCATCCCCTGGAGTTTTGCGATAATTTTGCACACATCGTTTTGCATGCTCTCCCGGACAGTAACGTTGTTGGCATGCTTCAGCATGGAATTTTGCAGCTTCCTTTAAAAATAATGGAACAAAGTGTACAATTATGAGTTTCCCCCACCTCTTGCTTTAAAAGCAAATGAAGATTTCTGAAATGCAAACAGTATCAAAGCACTTCTTGCTTTAGCAGTGCCCTTGAAAGCACTTGTCAGGAATGTCTGTGATCTTCCCAGGTCTCAGATCCTCCCTCCATCCAGATCAGTACAGCTCTCCTTTGTGTCTAAGTCTCAGCTGCCTCCCTTTATCAAAGCAAGAGGCTTGGCCATTTATTCACTCCTCTGTGGTCCCCACGACCCTGCTCTCTTGAGTGCAGAGACTGGGAATCTAAAATCGTACCCAGTCCAGCCTAGTGTTACAATAAATGCTGAATGAATACATGGACTCTGTAAACGTAGTTCACTGTCATGAAGGCTGGGAGTTCAATTCAGCCACACCCCGTGGAGTCAGTTCTGACTCACAGCCACCCTGCACCGATTTCGAGGCTGCATCTCTGTAGGAAGAGACTGCCTTTTGTTTTCTTGTGGAGTAGCTGGCTGATTAAATAGCTTCCTCTCCACCGTCATAACGCACTACATTGTCAGAGCTTTTTTTCATAGAAATCTCCTCCTTCGTTTTGTTTCTTAAAAGAAACTGGGTGATAGTTACCACCAGAAGGCCAGGTTATATGGACACAGTAGATCAAGTATGGGTCAGTGAGAAGCAGATCCTGACATGTGGTAAATAAGAAATTTGAAAAGCAAGCATGTGCCAGGTACTGCTCTAAGTGCTTCTCCTGGATTAACTCAGATAGCAGTTCAAATAGAGCAGACAACAACACTTTTGAAAGGACAATAGTTTAATACTCACCTTTCTTGAGTAATTGCACTATTCCTTAAAATCTCCAGTTCATTTAATGACATTTTATGCCTCTCTTTAATTTCATTTACTTTCTGGTGAGCTTTGTGAAGTAAGTTAACAAATTTATTTCTCTCATTTCGAACACTATCATACAATTTGGCAAACTGTCTGAGTCTGTAAAAATACAAAGTGTTTTTGGAACTTGTGAATTAAAAATCCAAAGGTTTTGACTTGTGTTTGTTTTGTTTTGTTTTTCTTTTTTCCTAAATAGAGAAATTATTAAGTAACTCGTACCTTCGATAAATTTCATGTTTTTTCTTCCTGTGTATTCTGATTTCAAGATCCTTTGCTTTGATTTCCTTAAGGATGTTCGAATACTTTTGCTGAAATGTAAGCAGTTTAAGTGAAAGAGGGGATAAAACCCCTATATGAGTGCCCCCGGTCTTCCTTCCCATCCTTTATGGAAGCCTGCTGTGCCCTTTTGGTCTGGATAAATCAGGAGGGGCAAGAGAGAGCTGAGATTACTTGACCAGCTGAATTGATTAACACCGAGTAAAACTAAAGGGTATTTAAGGGGAGGATAAGAGAACTGCTCACATAGGTTGAGTTTGAGGAAAAGTCTGGGAAACTTTTGAGAAAGTATGTGTGGACAGCACAGCTGTTCAAGATGACTGTGTATTTTGTGGACAATAGATGAGGGTTGAGGATCTGTAACAAGCTTTGAAATAAATGCATGAATAGAAGTCTTTGTGTTATTTTTTGAGAAACCCAAGTAATGATTTCCCATTATTTTGTATATTGATTGTGTCTTCCTATCCAATGTAGCACCACGCTGAGACTAGCTATAAGAAGGTGTTATGGAGGTAAGGGTTAGAGTTACAGGAGGTAAAGAAGTGTTACAAAAGTATAGGTTATAATTAAACTACAATAATTCAACATCTAAAGATCTAGGGACCAGTGATAGATACAATTCTTAAGTTCTCCAAGTTAAACACACTGAGTCTTTCTTTTATCTTGGACAAAGACATTTACAAAAGGATGACATATTTGCTGAAAGGAACTAGAGGAAACAGTTGCTGTCAACTTACCCCCAGGAGACTGACAGCAAAAATTTTTTTTTTACTATGAGTGATTCAAAAGAAACTAATGAGAATGAGTTTATGCTGTTCTCTATAAGAACAGGAATCAGAGAAGAAACTGATATTAAAATAACTGTATGTGAAAAGTATTAAACTGATATAAAAATGTAGTGTAATCTACCCCATCTTGGAGTGATAGAAACATTGGGTTTTTCTTCAATCATCTGTTTTCCTTTAAAGATGTAGGTGAGTTGTAAAAATTAAGCACAAGATTGCCTATCTTCTTTTGGAAATGATAACTAATTATAATTAACACCTAGCTGACTAATTCTCAATACTAAGAAAACATCACTTTTGGAACAAAATTTTCCTCTATTTGATTTTCCTTTCTAGAATTCCTTTCAAGAGGAATTATCTTGTGTTTTTATATGAATTCGCTCTTTTAATAATCAGGTGTGGTCTACCTAGATTAGCCACACATAGGCAACATATATGTTAATTTTTGAAATGAATAAAAATTATCTCATTCATAAAACAGATCAGTTTTCCTCTTATATAATAAATAGACTCAAGTATCTATATGTACACATATATATATAACATTTCTAAAGAGAAAAAAATACGTTTCTAATTAAGAAGGATAAATGAGTGGTCAACTTACTTATAATGAAAGCACTGGACTGAAACCGGTCCCACTGCAGATCCTGACTTTGATAATGCTCTTCACTCACTCTGTTCTCTCTTCTTTCTCCTTCAGCTATTCCAATTCTCTGTGTCTTTTTAAAAATCTACTCATCCATGAGCATGTTTTGTTTTAATTTATTGAAACCCACCTACCCGAACTCTATTTTTGCCTACCATGATCTTCAGGATAAGAGTACAAACTACTTACTATGGACGATGTGGCCCTATTCTTCACCATCTGGCCTCTCCTGCTTTCTTGACACTATTTATCCCTTCTTCCCGTGCACTAACCATGCTTAATTTCTTTCAGTTATCACTTTAAAGTGACAAGAAATAAATTTTAAATATGAGTTCCTTATCAGATATGTCATTGCCGAAGGCAAACAACTCAATCGCATATGGACATGAGATATAAATAGGCACTTCACCAAAGAAGAAATTCAGATGTCCAACAAACACATAAAGAAATGTTCAAAATTCCTAGCTATCAGAGAGAAGCAAATCAAAACAACTATGATATATCATCTTAACCCAGCAACAATAACAAAGTTCAACAGGGCAGTAAAGAGCAAATGTTGTTGAGTATGAAGACATTGGAAGTCTTATTCACTGCTGATGGGAATGTAAAGTGATACAACCACTATGAAAGCTTTCTTAAAAAGTTGGACATAGACATACATTTTGACCCAGATACCCAACTACTGAGAATATATCCTAAAGAAAACAGAGCCACAGTTCAAACAGATGTATGCACGCACACTCATATTTATTGCAATGTTATTCACAATAGCAAAGAGATGGAAGCAGCCCAGCTGGCCATTAATAAGTCAATGGATGGGAAACTGTGGTACATTCACACTATAGATTACTATGCAGCATTGAAAATTAATGACCTTATAAAACACCACACACCATGGTGAGCCTAGAAAACATCATACTGAGTGAAATATCTTAGTCACAAAAGGAAAAATACTGTATAACATCCTTTCTATAAAAAAAGACTAACAAGGGGAATAGAGGGAAAGAAAGGAAAAGAGTGGAGAGATAATAAACATTGCACTGGAACAGATGAAAGGAAGGACTATCTGAAGGGACTGTATGATCGGGCATTAGATGTGTGACAATTGACAATCTGGAACAAGAGGTGCATTACAAAGTGGACTAGGGGACAGGAAAGGATAGTGGAACGATGGAAAATGTGGAACAAAAAAATGAATGAATGAAAACACTATCTGTAAACTTTCATTAAAAACACAATTAAAAAATTAAACTAATAACAAATAAAACACCTAAAGCATTTAAAGAGTTTGCTGAGAAGTGTGCTATGTAAAGTTTATCCTAAACATTATACGATGGGAATTACATTAACAGCACAAAATGGAAAACCAATTTGCTTTGTAATCTTGTCCCCAAACCACTAAAACACACAGACACACACACACACACACACAGAGAGAGAGAGAGAGAGAGAGAGAGAGAGAGAGAGAGAGAGAGAGAGAGCCCTGCTGCCCCTGTATGCGTATTTGTTCAGAATGAGATCAAAGACTGCACTAGAAACCTTGGGTTTATAGGGTAGATTCTGATAGTCCTATTTAGTAATATGTTATATCCCTAAGACAAGTCCCTTTTTAACAAGGGACTTCTAAGCATAATTGTGCAGTTTCTCTTTCAATATGACTTTCCTAGAAATATTTTTACTTTGCCCTGTAGATGAGTGGGAGAATGTGAATAGGGCATGTTAGCCTATCCACTAGGGGACTGGCTAGTTTGATCAATCCAGGAGAGGACTGGCTAGTCTTGCCATGAAATTGAACAGTCTAGCAATAGAGGGAGAGACCTACCCCACCAGAGGAGAAGATGAAGAGGAGGAACAAGAAGAGGAAGAGGAGGAAGAGGACGAGGAAGAAGAACAAGCAGCAGCAGCAGCAGTAGCAAGAGAATGTAGGATGCCCTTCAGGACCAGACATTCTTACTTCAGCTACACTTACAGCAGCAACAGCCATAGCCAAACCAGAGGACCAGAGAGACCTGAGATGAGATGAAACGGGCTGCTACCTCCCCATAGACAGAACCAGAGGTCAGCTAAGAGCTGTTGTTGGCCAATTTGGGTGTGGGGTTGGGGAAAGGAAAGGCAATATGGGCAGGATGGAAACCTTTTTAACGGTGGTCTAAAGCCATGAAGCTCAAGGCGGAGGTGACTGAATGCACATTTCTGAAGCTGTCCTGACTATATTTCACTACTAATAAATAACCTTTTGACTTCCCCAACATGGTTCTGTGTAGTCTTTCAACTATTGCATTGGATTTTGTACTCAGCAAAGCAGTAAGATTGGTGCTGAAATGAGTATAAAGAGGTACAGGAGTGTGGGAGACATGTTTGACCTCATGGGAACTGGGTTTGTGTTATTGATGCTGTTGACTCTATTTAAATCTTCTGCTCATTTTCATCAATCTCTTTTTCTCCCCACTAGATTGTTATTATCATTTGAATCCTTGAACGATTTTTCATTCCCATAAAAGGAAGATTTATGATTACAAAAGCAGAAGATGGCTTCTAGTGCCAGCTTTCCAGTGAACACTGCATCTTACATAAGGCTATCTTGAACACTTGTTGGAGGCATGCATGGTTATAGGACTGCAGTCACCTGAGCTTTCAGGAAATCCTTGGACTTTTGCTCTTTTTCATCAAGCTTGATTTGAGTCATTCGGACAAGGTTGAATAGAAGATCTTTCATGTTTTCTTGCTCCTTTACAAGCTTGTTTTCTTCTGCAAGTTGCTGTTCTACCAACTTAGATTCTGCTTCTGTTAAGACTTTCTTTTGAAAAAATATAACATAATAATTATTATTTACTATTTGAAGAAACACAATTACAGCATTTTAGACTATATTTTTATTTTCTGTGCAAAAAACTCTATCCCTTCTTGCCTTCAAATTGGAACTCACTAACAGTGGACCCACTGGAATTTCCAAGGTTGCCCATCTTTCGCCCTATGAACTAGACCATCAGAGTTCTCTTCTTTTATTAAGATAGAAAGCAAAGAAACTTCATTGGATTAGCTATTTTTTTAAAAAAGTAAAACAGTTGGTTAACACCATAGAACTCTTTTAAACATAACTTTTTATTTTAATTGTGATTTTAACCAAAGTTTACAGACTGTGGAGCCAAGCAAACTAAAGCTGTGAACAATCTCAGTCTCTTCACCATCCATCCTGCTGCTGCCAATTGGTCCAATGGTGAGAATCTTTGTCTTCTTGACACTGAGCCTCAATCCATATTGGAGGCTGCAGTCCTTGACCCTCTGCAGCAAGCACTTCAGGTCCTCCTCAGTTTCAGCAAGTAGGGTTGTGTCATCTACATAACGCAGATTGTTGATAGATCATCCACCAATCTTGACCCCACAGGTTGAAAAGGTATGGAGATAGGACACATCCCTGGCGTACATCCTTCCCACTTTTGAGCCATGCAGTGTTCCCTTACTCTGTTCTGACAACTGCCTCCTGGTCCAAGTATAGGTTTCACAATAGAACGATCAAGTGTTCTGGGATTCCCATTCTTCTTAGAGTCAGCCACAGTTTGTTATGATCCACAGAGTCAAATGCCTTTGTATGGTCAATGAAACTCAGATAGATAGGAGCATAGATTCTCACCACTGAGCCAATTGGCAGCATCAGTATGGATGGTGAAGAGACCGGGATAGTTAACAGTTTTAGTTTACTTGGCTCCACAGTCAACACTCTTGGTACCAGCAGCCAGGAAATCAAGAGATGAATTGTTTTGGGAAAGTCAGCTGTCAGGGACTTCTCAAGAGTACTGAAGAACAACAATGTCAGGCTGGAGACTAAGGTGTGCCTGATCCAGGCTAAAGTCTTCGCAATTAGGTGCTATGCATCGGAGAGTAGGACAGTGAATAGGGATGATAGAAAGAGAATTGATGCCTTTGAGTTGTGGTGCTGGAGTATTGAATATACCGTGGACTGCTAGGAGAACAAACAGGTTTGTCCTGGAGAGGGTGAAGCCAGAATGTTCCCTGGAGTCAAGGATTCTGAAGCTTTGTCTGACATACTTTGGGCATGTTGCAAGGAGGGACTAGTCCTTAGAGAGGGACATCATGCTTGGGAGAGTGGACGGACAGCACAGGAAAGGAAGACCCTCGATGAGGTGGATCAATTCTGTGATTGGGGTGGTGGGAATGAGTGTGTCAGAGATGACGAGGTTGGCACAGGATAATCGGCGTTTAGGGCTTTTGTAGATAGGGTTAACTTGATGGTACATAACAACAAGAACAACTAACTACTCTCTTTGATGAAATTTCATGGTGCACAATCTAAAACAAAACAAATCTCAACACCTTCATAATAATCATTCTTAAAAGTTGAAGCGGAAGTTGAGATTAACCTGCTGGGCCAAGTTCCTCTTGGCTGCTTCCACTTCCTTGTGGAGCTCTCTCCTTCTGTCAGACAATGCAGTGTCATCTCTAGGGAAAGCATCCATCTGGAAAGCAAAATTTAAAACAGGTGACTATACAAGAGAGAATATCTCAATACTGTGCTGTCAAGTCCATCAAGTACCTGTTGGAAATAATGGGCAAATCAAAACTTCCTTATAGAAACTGTTATTATGAGGATTATTCTTTATAAAGTCTTAGCAAACTAAAATAAGAACACTTGCAAAAAAATCTATTTACTACCAGCTATAAATATTCTGTTTTACTAATTTTTAGATAAACTTTTCAAACAAGATATAACATTTTTTAAGCACTGATTATATGTCAGGCACAGTTCTAGTATGTATGAATTACTTCATTTAATCATTACAATAAACCATTTGATATCTCCAACTACGATATTTAAACTTTCCTTGATGGTATGGTTACAAACCCAGGTTGCTAGACTCAAAGTCCATGATCTTAATCCTGCATAAGACAGCCTCGTTAAGCACTTTGAAAGACTCACCTGCTATGACCATTCAAGTAACAGACTTACAAAATGCGAGATCATTCATGACAATATAGGTGTAATAACAATTAGAAGTTATTAATAGCAGTGCGAATAGTTTCCTACTGATGTGTCACATTGTTGTTAGGAGCCAAGTTAAGTATGACTTATCGTGACCCTATGAGCAACAGATCTGAACTCTGTCCTATCCTGTGCCATCCTCACAATCTCACGACACCCTCAAGTCCACTGCTGCAGTCACCGTGTCAAGCCACCTGGCTGAGGAAGCCTCTCCTTCACTGTCCATCCATCTTCTCTAACATATTGTCCTTCTCCAAGTAAAAGCTCTCCTAGTAAGTGACATGCCCAAAGAATGTGAGGTTCTTCATCATCTTTGTCACCAAGGAGCTCTCTGGCTCACCATCTCCAAGACATATCTGTTAGTCCTTTTGGCATTCCATATGATATTCAGCACTTTTCTCCAACACCACAATTCATGGGTATCAATTCTTCTGTCATCCTTAGTCACTGTCTAGCTCTCAGGTGCATAGCAAGTAACTGTAAAGACCATGGCCTGGATCGGGCACACTCAGTCCTCAAACTGACATCCTGGCTCCCCAATTACTTGGAGAAGTTCCTGACTGTGGACTTTCCCAGTGCAATGTCTCCTGATCTCTTGTCTGCTAATATCAAGTTATGGGTTATGTCATAAGTTTGTCATGTTGTTGTTGTTGCTGTGTACCACAGAGTTGGAACCAACCCATAGCTGGCCCTCTGGGGGGTGTTCAGAGCCAGTTAATCTCACAGGAAGAGAATGTCCTTTTTTCTCCTGTGGAGCAGCTGATAGATTCGAACCACATGCCTTGGGGATTACAATGTAGCTTCACAAAAGAAAACAGGCTCCTAATTTTTGCTGATGCCTGAATCGCCCCATTTTATTTATATTATATTGGCCTATGACTTTGTCATCTGTTACAGTACTTCAGGAGGAGGGAAACATGCTATTCTACCAGATTTTGTTGTCTTGTAAAGAATAATGTTATATTCTTACTCTTTTGGCATTTCTCAAGTCGAAAGAACTGAAAAACAAATTCAAGCCTCCAGTTGCAATACCAAGAGATATTATAAGAAAAGTCTTAAATAATCTTAAAAACATCAATAGAAGATGGAAGGAATACACTATGGAAGAGTCACTGAAAAATTTCAGGAAGTAACATATGAAGAAAAGCCAACAGCAGTGAGAGAAGAGGTTCAGGCTGCACTGAAGCCACTGGCGGGGGAGGGACAGGCCCCAGGAATGAGTGGAATACCAATTGTTATGTTTCAGCCAACAGATGTAGCCCTCGACTTACCAGTCAATGCCAGGAGATTTGGAGGACAGTTGCTTGGCTGACTGACTAGAAGAAATCCTATTTGTTCTCACTTCCAAGAAAGGTGATCCAGCATAATGAGAAAATGATCAAACAATATAAGTAGTATCACATGCAAACAAAATATTGCTGAAGATCACCCAAAATCTCTAGAACAGTATGTTGAAATATCACTGCCCGAAGTTCAAGCTGGGTTTAGAAAAGGCTGTTAACACAAGGGATAAAATTTCGGATGTCAGATGGATTCTAGCTGAAAGCACAGAATACCAGAACAATGTCTATTTGTGTTTTATTGACTATGTAAAGGCAACAGCAACAACAGACCAAGAAGCTATTATCTCAACAGAACAAGGGAACAATGTATGGTTTAATCAGGAAAATATGTCTCAGAGTTGTATCATTTCTCCATATTTATTCAGTCTGTATTTGGAGCAAATAATTTGAGAACATGGACTGGATAAAGAAGAATATGACATTATGATCACAGGTACACTCACAAACAACCTGCGTTACGGAGATGACATAACTTTGCTTGCTGAAAGTGAGGACTTGACATGCTTACTGTCAATGATCAAAGACTATGTGGTCTTTGTGGTCTAAGTCTCCTATGTGGTTTGCCATTTAAACACCAAAAAGACAAAGATCTTCACCATTGGACTGATAGGCAACATCATAATAAAGAAAAGAGTGACACTGTCAATCATCTTACTTGGGTCCACAGTCAACACCCTTGATATGAGCAGTCAGGATCAGGAGTTTTTGCATAGGGAATGTCTGCTGTCTTAGACTTCTCAAGATTACTGAGGAGCAATGATATCAGTTTGAAGATTAAGGTGCATCTGATTAAAGCAATGATCTTTTCAATCATTTGGTATACATTTGGACAGTGAATAAGGATGAAAGAAGAAAACTGATGCCTTTGAGTTGTGGTGTTGGAGAAGTACATTGAATATCTTATGCACTATCAAAAGAACAGTTATGTCTTGTGGAGAAAGTGTAGCCAGAGTACACCTTGGAGGCAAGAATGGTGAAGCGTCATCTCATATACTTTGGACATGTTGCTAGGGGGAGCAATTGCTTGGAAAGGGACATTATTCTTGGAAAACTGGAGGGCCAGTGAAAGAAAGGAAGACCCTCAACTAGAAAGACAGACACAAAGACTACAGCAATGGGCTCAAGTGTCAGTCAGAGACGATGAGAATGGCACAGGGTAGGATAGGATTCAGCTCTGCTGTTCATAGGGTCACATAAGTCATACTTGACTAGATGGCACCTAACAAAAACAACATTCTTTATGATGCGTAAAAGGGCAGATGAGATTAGGAAACATGGTTTTCGATAGGGTAGATGTACCATCCATGGTTACGGGAAGGGCCTTCTTGGGGATGCTTGGAGCACACTTAACCCAGAGCATGTTTAGAGTTGGGCCTTAACTCCAAAATGTACATGACTCCAAACTGATGTGGTTCCTTTCAAAATTATTAATTCCTACATCAAAATGACTATAGAGACGGAAACTCACTAAAACTCACTGATGTCAAGTCAGAACTGACTTACAGCTGATCCTCCAACGGGCTTTTGGAGGCTCTAAATCACACGGGAGGCGATTGGCAACCTTCTCTCACGGAACAGCTGGTGGATCTGAATCGATGGAAAGGTTAGTACTTCCCTAGCAGTGCAGCTCTCCACAGAAGATGTGGTAAGAAATTAAGCATATTATGCTCCTACTTTTACTCTATATCCGACTTTCTACGGCCACTTTTAATAGTTGAGTGTGTATTCTTTCCGATATATTCAAGTATCAATGAACAATAGTAACCTTTAAAAATGTTAAGAAATTTAGTTAATAACATTCTGTTGCTTTAAGCATCTCAATTATTTGGTATCAGTGAACTTCGTTTCTTTCAATGCCTTGATATTTCTCTAAAATATTTAAAACTCATGAGACTTGTAGCTTGAATTTCTGGAAGAATCCTTTTGGACAGTCAAAGGTCATAGGGGAGTCAAACAGCTGCCTCTGGGGGAAATGAATTCTGAGGAGTGGACCTTCATGCTTACCTTTCATCTCTTTCTTTCTTTCTGGATTGCATGCAAGTTTGAAATGTTCACGCAAAGTAGGAGGTGGGGGGCGGGGGTCTGGCCTTACCCATTCTTATTTTAAAGTACTGCCAACATTGCAGGACAGTGGCTGAGCTAACTCTAAGTCAACGTCAAAGAGGTAAGTAAACTCTCACTGAAAATACACTTATTGTTGTTATAATGTACTGTCTATTGGAACCAACGCATAGCTGACATTCCAATGGGTTTTTAGAGGCAGTTAATCACACAGGAAGAGAATGCCCATCTTTCTTCTGTGGATTCAAACCATGTGCTTTGGGTTGGCAACACAGCTCCTTAGCACTAAGCCACAAGAGCCGTAGGAGGCAAAAATTCATTGAAATCAATGAAAGGAAAGAATTGTAATATATTTGCATGCCTTTATAGCTATTAATGTTCTAATAGGGAGCTCTGGTGGCCTAGTGACAAGACGATGAGCTGTAATCTCAAAGGCACACACTTCAAGGCCACCCGCTGCTCCAAGGGAGAAGGAAGGGCAATTTCCTCCCATGCAATTAACTGCCTCTGAAGACACGCTATGGGTTGGTTCCATCTCTACAGTACACAACAATAGCAGCAACAATGTTCTAACAAGAGTTCGAACCCAACATGCAGCTCTGGGGGAGAAAGAGCTTGTAATCTGCTTCCATAAAGAGTAAAGTCAAGAGAACTCAACGGGGAAATTCTAATCTAGCATATGGGTCACTATGAATCAGAACTGACTTTATGGCACCTAACAAGAAATTGGCAAAAAACAAGGCCCCAGGAATTGACGGCAGCCAATTGACATATTTCAAACAAACAGATGCTGTCCTGGATGTGCTCACCAAGTTGTGCCATGAAATCTTGAGGACCAACTGTCCATCCAAATAACTGGAAAAGATCCATATTTGTTCCCATTTTTAAAGATGACCCGAAATTTACAAACAGTAACATTAATATCACATGAAGCAAGCTTCTGCTGAAAATTATACAAAAATTACTAGAACAGCACAACAGAGAATTGCTAGATGTGCAGGCTTGGGTTAGAAGAGGCCATGGGACAAGGGATATTATAGCCAATGTTAGATGGATCTTGGCTGAAAGCAGAGCGTACCAGAGGAATGTCTATCTGTGTTTCATTGACTATGCAAGGACATTTGACTGTGTGGATCACAACAAATTGTGGCTAACTCTGAGAAGAATGGGAATCCCAGAATACTTGATTTTGCTTATGTAAGACCTATACTTGGACCAGGAGGGAGTCATCAAAACAGAACAAAGAAATGCTACATGTTCAAAATCAGGAAAGGTATATTTGAGGGATACACCCTATCTCCATACCTTTTCAATCTATATGCGGAACAGGTCATCTGGGAGGCTGGGCTTTATGAGGAGGAATGTGGCATCAGGATTGGAGGAAGACTCATCAACAACTTGTGTTATGTAGATGACAACCTTGCTTGCCAAAACTGAGGAGGACCTGAAGCACTTGCTGCAGAAGGTCAAGGACTGCAGCTTTCACCAAGGATTAAAGTTCAGCATCAAGAAAACAAAGATTCTTACCATTGGGCCAACTGGCAGCATCAAAATAGAGAAGAGATTGAGATTGTTAACAATTTCAGCTTGCTTGGCTCCATAACCAGCACTCTTGCTACCAGCAGCCAGGAAATCAAAAGATGAATTGCAGTGGGAAAACATGCTCTCCAGAGTACTGACGAGCAACTATGTCAGTCTATAAAATAATATGTGCCTGATCCAGGTCATGGTCTTCACTATTACTTGTTATTCATCAGAAAGCTGGGCAATGACTAAGGATGATAGAAGAATTGATGCCTTTGAGTTGTGGTGCTGGAGAATAGTATTTACTATACATACCATGGACTGCTAGGGAAAACAAACAGGCTCATCCTAGAGAGGATGAAACCAGGCTGCTCTTTGAAGGCTGCAATTTTGAAGCTCCATCTGACATACTTGTGGCATGTTGCAAGGAAGAACCAGTCCTTGGAGAGGGACATCATGCTTAAAAGGGTGGAGAGACAGTGCAGAAAGAGGAAGGCCCTGGATAAGATGGATTGAGTCAGTGACTGGGGTACTGGGGGTGGGTATGTCAGAGACAATAAGGTTGGCTCAAGATGGAGCAGGGTTCAGGTACATGGGGTCGCTATGAGTCACAGCAACTTAACGGCTCACAACAAAAACAATAAAGTTATCATATAACAGCTAGTGAGGAATATTCTCCTGCAATCTCCTTTTTGGTCAAGGACCCTTTCCTTATATATCTAACAAAATCAATCTACAGTGAAGCCAAATCAGCAAGCTGTATCCTCAGAAGCAGGCTCCAATTAGCTTTATTATGTTCCATGCTTACTAAAAAGCAGCTAGTCAGGTATTTGAGGAGTATTCTGAGGAGTGTGTAACTTGGTGATTTTGACAAAATCTGGTAGATTGCATTGGTTGGTTGAAACCAATAAACCAGATCAAAAGAGTAGGAAAGTGGGATAGAAGAACATAATATCTCTGTTCTCTGTAGGGGAGATAAAAGGATATTTATTTATCATTTATCCAAGGTATAAAAATGGATTAAATGGATTGAGTCAGCGACTAGGGTAATGATGCTAGGTGTGTTGGAGACAATGAAATTGGCTCAAGATAAAGCACCATTCAGAGTTGTTAAACATAAGGTCACTATGGGTCGTATGTAAGTGACTCGATAGACATAACAAAAACAAATATATATATATATATATATTCTTCTCATTAATATCCTCAGTGACTTAAGAGAAGATATGTTCACATAAGCAATTATTCCTTACAGCAAAGCAAAAGAGATAATAGAAAGGATGGCAAAGATAAAAAGACAAGGAAATTAGAGGACACTCTTAGAAGAAGGTTTAGCATTTGGGTCATGGGTCCCAGAAAGAACCAGAAGAGAAAACAGACTAAAAGAGAAAGTGGGGGGAAATTCAGGACAAAGTTTACGTCCTAAAGGACGTAAGTATTTATTTTGAGAAGCCCACATAGAAGCAGCTACTGTAGAAGATGGTCTCCTAATAATAAAGGGTCCTTGGAGATAGAGATCATGCTTGGGAGAGTGAATGGACACCACAGGAGAGGGAGACCCCGAATGAGATGGATTGATACAGTAACTGGGGCGATGGGGGTTGGTGTGTCTGAGTTAGTGAGACTGGCTCAGGACAGGGAAGGGTTCACAGCTAATGTACACAGGGTCACTATACATCGCAGGCGACTCAAGGGCATATAAAAACAATAACATACTATGACTGTGGAGTCAGATCCAGTCCATAGCTGACCATCCAGTGGACTTCAAAGGCAGTTAATGGCACAGAGCAGCTAGTGAATTCGAACAGTGTGCCTTCAGGATTGCAGCGCAGCTTCTTGCCAGTAAAACACCAGACAAGTTTATAGATGCTATGATCTGACTCCACAGTACACAACAACAATAATAGGTTTGATACATTAAAAATTTTTTTCTGTTACTTTTCATTCTTTTTCCATAGATTTTATGAATTTAATTTTGTCTCTCAAAATACATGCATGATGATATAATGCGGAAGCTGTGGAATGCTTCTCCATAATCTGATAAACCAAAGAGTTGTGAAAGGATTAAGGGTGGAACGCAACGCAACACTCCCTCACCCATTCACAGTGCTCTCAGGATCACCAAATAATTAGGTACTTTTGTTCTCTGCATGCAGAAGCTTCTTGACATCAGAGAAGACCCAGACACACGAAGATCTCCAGAGGATGCACGGCCTGCAAATGCTGAAAGAAACAAGGAGTTTCCTGCAGAGAGAAGAGATCTTTCCCTAATGCTTGTACCCTGATTTTGGATTTCTAGTCTCCTAGATGTTAAGGGAATAAATTTCTGTTTATTAAAGTCATTTACTTGCGGTTATCTGTAATGGCAACTCTCTATAATTAAGACATTTAGAACAAACGTAAATTTGTAAAACACTTTTACTCTGAAAGGAAGCACTAAGAATAAACATCTTCTAGTGTGGTGCACCACCCACCTCTAACATAAGCCTTTGATGCATCGCTTGAGTTTGAGCAAGTGTATCCAAAGACACTTTCAGCAGCAGCTCCATCTTCTTTAAATTCCGAATATCTCGGTCCTTTTCTCTTTGCTTACGAGAAAGTTCATCATGGCAGCTCTGCTTATCAATGAGACAGTTTTGCAGATTGAGATCCAAGATGCCTCTGTTTCAGGAAAAGTCGAAAAAAGAATTGGCATCAACAGTCCGTCATGTTCCTCACATACACACTGACGATTTCTCATGTTCAAATTTTAAATCATAAACAAGGCCCAAATCCATTTTGTTTGTGACTTGGAATCATTTAGAGTCATATGTTGTTGTCATTGCTATGTGTCAAGTATGACTGAAAACAGCTCTATGAACTGTATATCTGAACCTTGTCCTATCCTGTGCCATCTTCATTATCTCTGGCATACTTAAGCCTGTTGTTGCAGTCACTGTGTCAAATTCGTCTGGTTGAGGGTCTTCCTCACTTTTCCTGACCCTCTACTTTTTCAAGCCTGATGTTTCTAAGGAATAGTCCCTCCTAACAATATGCCCACATTATGTGAGATGAAGCTTCACCATCCTTGTCTCTAAAGAGCTTTCTGGATACACTCTCTCCAAAACATATCTGTTCTTTTGACAGTTCATGGGATATTCAGTGGTATTCTCCAACACCATAACTCAAAAGGCTTTAATTCTTCTATTACTCTTATTCATTGTACAGCTTTCAGGAGCACAGCAAGTGATGGGAAAGACAATGGCCTGCATCAGGCACACTTTAGCCTTTAAACTGACATCACTGCTCAATACTTTGGAGAGGTCCCTGACAGCTGACTTTCTCAGTGCAATACATCTTTCTATTTCTTGACTGTTGGTGCCAAGGAATTGTGGATTCAAGTAACATTAAACAGTTGACCATTTCAATCTTTTCTCACTCTATCATGATGTTGCCTATCAGTCCAGTGGAGAGGATTTTTGTCTTGATCTTTAGATGTAGTCCGTATTGAAGGCTATAGTTTTTGATCTTCTTCAGCAAGAGGTTCAAGTCCTCCTCACTTTCACCAAGCAAGGTTGTGTCATCTACATAAAGTGAGATGTTGTTCAATCTTCCTCCTAGCCTGATGTCACTTTCTTCTTTTAAAAAAAAAATTAAATACAATTTTATTTTAATTGTAATGTTAATGAACATTTACAGAAAAGTTAGATTTTCATTTACATTTTACCCCCTCGCCCTTCCCTCCCCAGCCCCTAGTTCCCTTTAAAAAAAAAATCATTCATTGTTGCACAACACTCTCTTTTTAGAGTCCAACTTCTCAAGTGGTTTACTTAGCATACAGACGGAATTGATAAGGAGAAAGCCTATGGGCCTGATGCATTCCTTTCTTGATTTTAAGCCATGCAGTGTTCCCTTTCTCTTTTGGGACAACAGCTTTTTGGTCAAGTATAGGTTTCCTTATGAGCATAATTAAGTGTTCTGGGGTTCCCAACCCTCACAATATTAATCATAGTTTGTTATGATCCACACAGTCAAAAATGTCTTTGCATAGTCAATAAAGCACAAGCAGACATTCTGGCATTCTCTGCTTTCAGCCAAGATTGATCTGACATCAGCCATGATCTCTCTGGTTCCATGACCTCTTCTAAACCCAACTTGAACTTCTGGCAGTTCTCTTTCAATGTACTGCTGCAGCCATTTTTGGACGGTCTTTAGCAATATTTTTGTTTATATGTGATATTAATGATATTGTTCAATATTTTCCACATTCTGATGGATCAGCTGTCTTGGGAATGGGAACAAATATGGATCTCTTCCAATCAGTTGGCCAGGTAGCTCGTTGTCTTCCAAGTTTCCTAGCACACAAATCCTACATATAATAATACCTTGACCAAGAGAGAAGTCCCAGTTTCCTGACATTTTACTTAAAAATCATAAGTGTGTGGAGGGAGGGGTGGGTAAAGGAAATGGAAATTATTTCAGTGTGAAAAACAATGTATATGAATATTTTAAGTAAGCCAGTATAAAAGAAAATAAAAAAAAAAAAGAAGATGTATAACCCCCCAGGAAACAACAGTCTCCTATTAGGAAAAAACTCAAAATTGTTCCTTTTTGGGGGGGCGGGGAATATAACTGTCTAAAAAGATCCATTCAATTTCTTGAAAGATCCATTCAATTTCTTGAAAACCTCTTTAAATAGCACACTCCAGAGGCTTAAGTTTCTAGAAGCACATTTCAGATTCACAATCTATAGCAGATTATGTCTGGGATTTAGGTACACAGAATCTGGAGGCGGGGGAATGTTTCAAACAAAGGGGGGGGGAAATTCCTTTATTTACTAATATTTCTAAATTAATGGTAAAAGTCCATTTTAAATTCTACATGAACATTCACTGAATTATCTGAAAACTCTGGAAATTTATGTTAAGTTTTTAAACAGAAATCCAAGAAAAGTTTAGATGACAGAACACTGAAATGTAACTAACCTTTCACTTAGTGAAGCTGCTTCATTCTCTCTAGTTAATTCCAAGAGTTTGACCAATTGATTGTATTCTCGTTCCTTTATTTCAAGTAAGGCTCGTTTTCCTTCAACTTCTTTAATTACATCCTCTTTCTCCTCTATTACAGCGTTAATTTTATTTTCAATTTTCTTTAGGGAGTCATTTATTTCCTTCACTTCACATTCTAAGACCATCTTTTTCTTTTCCATTTCACTGTGGGGTGAACATACACAAACCATATTAACACACATCCATATATATGTGCATTGTTTTTTCCTTCCAATTTTTAGTAGTTAAAATGTACAATACACCAAACAATGTTTGCCTCACGCCCAGCCCATGCTATTTTCACCTAATCAAAATTCCTGATGAGGCAGCTGAAAAGCTAGTTATAAATGTAATGAGCTCAGAAATGTGGTGAAAGCTACAGATGACTAGGACTCAGATCCCTCTACTGAGGGTCACTGAGTGTAAACATTTCCCCAGCTTCTCTCATCTTTCTCCTCCTACCAGTTTCCCTCTACCAATCTCGTCCCACCAATCTACCAAATGCCTTTACCTCCTGGCATCCCATCTTTTTCTCCACCAGCCTCTCAGAATTGACCTCTTAACTTTGATTCTGGTGCGTATGACTCTAATAGCCATTACTAGTCTGTGCTATATTTATCTTGTTCTTTTAAGTTTCATACTGGAACAATCCTATAATTTCCCTAGAATTTTTGTATCTTTTTTTGTTGTTGTTCTTGTAATACTTAATAATTTCCTTAGTTACCTCTGAGCTCAAATCTACTTTGAATGATTGAGGATGTTTTACACTTGAACAGGTGTCAAAGTAAAGGGCAGCTCTCATGTGGATTATAAGCTGCTGGCTGGCTGACATACCATGAAATTCTATACAATTCAAATCATTTACCCCTTGCGTAGTTTTATTAAATTCAGTAGGAATGCTCGATGAAAATAAGATTTATAAATCTGAAATAGAATCTTGTCTTATACTTGTCACCAAATGTTATTACCACACTATTTTCTTCTTCTTTTTTACTGAATGTGATTGATATATACAATTCAGGCAAGGCAAAAAGCAGGTATTTATAAAATTATAACAGTCATTTGATGGGTATTATACAGAATTTGTTGTGCCCAGTGGTTAATTTTCTCACTTCAGTGCATACATATAATTTGGGGAAGGAGTGGTGGGAAAGATTAAAAATAACAGTATTAAACCATACACTTTTCTGCGTGTAATTTTTTCAATCTCTTTTCCAATCTGTACAGGAATAGACTGATTGTGGACCACGTCATCCTGATAAAGAAACAGAATCAAGTTAAACTATATAGTCTTGGAGCTGAAGCAATTAAGAGAAGCAGATGAAATAAGATAGAAAAAAAGACATAAAAATAAGGTTTGCACTACACAGGGAAGCTTTGGTTATTCTATGCACTACTCAAAATGACTTTCTAAGAGAGAAGGTTTTTATTATTTTCAAGAGGAAATAACTGAGTATAGCAAATGTTGTTGGTATCCTCCCAGATTCCCTTTATAATGGTACATCCAGTATAAGTATAGCACACCTTTAAGTCAATCTGGTATTCCAACAATTCTTCTAGTTCTTTCTGCTCTTTTAGTGCTTGTTTTTGCTTAGACATCAAATCTTCTCGTAAATTTTTAATCTCTAATTTCTTCTGCATTACTTCTTTACGTAATTCTTCAGTGCTTTCTCTCAATATTTTCATCTTCTTCTCCATCTCCTTCAAAATCATGACAATTAGGAGGTTATACACATTCAGAGCAAACATTTATCTACTTTAAAACGGAATAAAATGTGACCCATTTTTATTCTATTTGTTTTGTTGTTCACAAACTCTAATCACAGAGTGATGTCATTTATAATTTGACATCTTTATTTTAAAAAATACATTCACTATTATTCATTAGATTTGAACTCTTACTTTTCACCAGTTCTCTTTTCCACTTTATTTTTTCCTGTTAATATTTATTTCATACTAACAACTGCTAGGAAAACAAACAGATTCATCCTGGAAAGGGTTAAACCAGGCAGCTCCCTGGAGGCAAGGATTCTGAGGCTCCGTCTAACATACTTTGGACACGTGAAGAGACTGGTCCTTGGAGAAGGACATCATGCTTGGGAGGGTGGAGGGACAACGCAGGACGGGAAGGCCTTCTATGAGGTGGATTGATTCAGTGACTGGGATAATCGGGATGGGAGTGTCAGAGACAGTGCAATTGGCACAGGACAGAGCAGAGTTTAGGGCTGCTGTATGTAGGGTCATTATGAGTCGCAAGTGACTGGACAGCACATAAACAACAACAACAACTTACTAATGAAAATTTTCAACACGTTTTTTTAGGAATTTTGATATTTGACAAAATCTGTTGTAAATAATCTTTGAATATTTATCTGATTTAGAGTTTACCCAAGTCACTAATGAAAACTGAAGATAAGGGAGTTCATGTTTGGAATATCACTCCTTACTCCTCCCTTTGCTATCAATCTGACTTTGCTAGATTACATACGAAGTTCCTAAATGTACTCCAACTCAAACTTTCATAATGTCTTTGTGGTCCCAATGTGATTATCTGGGGGCGTGTCAGAATTATGGGAGAGATGTCTTCCAGTACTACAGGTGGACGGATCAGTTTAGACTGTTTGGAGTTTTTTAAGTTCTCTGTTCTTCATTGTTACTTCAAAGTTTAAACTCCATGAGGATACAATCTGGAGTTAAGTTTAAAATGCTTTCCCCTAGAAAATTTGTGTTACATATGGTGTTTACATGTATTTACATAGAAGTAATAATATTTTATGCTAAGTTAAATGGGATGGTCACAATACACCTTAGAAACAGAACCGCTCAGAAGATAGAAGCCATGAAAATGGTGGTGATCTTTCTACTATTTAATGATGGTCGTTAGGTGCTGGTGAATCACTTCTCACTGGTAACCATACCATGCACAGCAGAACAGTACACAGTACACAGCCCATCCTGTGCCATTTTCCTATTCCTTGCTGTTTAACCTCATTGTTACAGCTACCATGCCAATTCATCTTGTTGAGGGTTTTCCGCTTTTTTTTGCTAATCTTCTACCTAGCAAATTGTCTCTCTCCAGGGACTGCATGAAAAATGTACAAGTGAGATGAAATTTCACCATAATTACTTCCAAATAGCATTCTGGTTATATTTCTTTCAAGACAGGTTGGTTTGTTCTTCTGGAAGTCTATGGTATATTCAATATTGTTTACCCACACAACCAAACGGAACCAATTAACTAATCAATTGAATCAATTAATTGATTCAAATGAATCAGTTCTTCTACAGTCTTCCTTATTCATTGTCCACCTGTTCCACGAACATGAAACTAAAAAAACCTCATTGTCGCCAAGTTGGAACCAACTCACAGCTGACCCTCCAGCATGTTTCTGAGGCTGTACGTCACAGGGAAGGAGGATGCCCATATTTCAGAGAAGGTGGTGAGTTCAAAGCATCACAGCAGCACGACCTCAAGGTTACCAGAGCAACTCCCTATGCACTATGCCCCCAGAGCTTCCTCCATGACTGTGAGGTGACTGACGAGGAAGAGTACCACAGCTTCAGTCAGGGGCACTTCAACCCTCAAAGTGGCATCTTTCCTTTTTAATAATTAAATAGGTCTTTTGCTGTAGATTTGCTGTTTGACTTCTTCACTGCTGCTTCCATGGGTATGTTAAACAAGATTTTGTATTGTGCATTTACTTATATTGTGATCTGAGTGAAAGTTTACAAAATAAATTTATTTTCCACTCAATCATTCCTACACATTTTGTTTGATAACATTAATTATAATGGCCAAGATATAATTATAAGCCCCTTACTTCTTCTCTAAGTTTCTTATTTATGTTAATCCTTCTCTCCTGCCCTTTCCTGCCTTCTGGGATTTGCCCTTTGACAAGTGCCACACTTTTGACCTTACATAGTTGGTTATTCTAAGGAGTGTCTCTCTGATGATGCTGTTCTCATTATATTACTGCTGTTCAGTTGATTCTGACTCATAGTGACCCTCTGTTTGGGTTTCGGAGGTGATAAATTGCAACATCTGGTAACCACAGTTGACATCTTCAGATATATTAGTAAGCCTATTTAGACCAACTAGAATGCCATGTGGTGGCTGATCAGATCAGAAAAATTCAGGAACAGGAAGACTAACAAATGGTTGTTGCTGTATGCCATTAAATTGTAGGTTGGTTTGTTTTGCAGAAAGAGATCATTTTCCTCATAACAATTTCTTGTAGCAAGTTTGAGATTCTCAGGAAGCTATTAAGGTGCTATTTACAGCAAAACTATGTACCAACCACCTAATTGCTTTCCTACAGAAGATTCAATAAACACTTAGTGTCTAATAAACACAGTCAAATTTATATGCCAAAAAAATTGCTTGGATTCACAATCAACACTGTTGGCACCAGCAGTCAAGACATCAAAAGACGTATTGCCTTGGGTAAATCTTATTTTCATGGACTTCTCCAAAGTGTTAAAGAGCAGTGATGTCAGTTTAAAGGCTAAGGTACATCTGGTTTAAACCATGATCTTGTCAATTACTTGTTATGCATTTGAAAATTGGCAGATGACAGAATAAGAATGAATGCCTTTGAGTTGTGATGTTGGAGAAGTATATTGAATATCCAATGGACTGTCAAGAGGACAAACAATATAACTTAGAGAAAGTGCAGCCAGAGTGTTCCTTGGAGGCAAAGATGGTGAAACTTCATCTCACATATTGTTAGGAGAGACTATTCCACAGAGAGGAAAATCATGCTTGGAAAAGTGGAGAGTTGGTGAAAGAGAGGAAGACCCTCAAAGAGATGGATTGACACAATCCTACAGGGCAGTTTTACACTGCATACAAGGGGTTGCCACAAATTGGAGTCCACTCGATAGCATTAACATCAACAATTACTTTGACCCAAAATCTGCAGATATTTCTTCCAGTATTATCCATAGTTAAGATTTTTTGATCTTTCAAGTGTTTGAAGATGTGAATTTTTGTGAGAAATATTAGTATTTGTAACAATGGGTGTTTCAATCTAGGTTCATTTAACAAGTGTTAGATCATCTGAGACTTACTCCCGGCTTAGGTATTTTCTCAAATTCCTTTAATATGAGGCTTTTTTCTTCCATTAAGCTGAAAAAGAGAGAGAGAAATTAAGCTTGACAATGTGCAAAAGACTAAGTTATTCACTGATAACTTTGTGCTGCCTTTTCTCAAAATGCTCTTCCCACGCTTGTTCTCGTGAAGCTAGTGTGGTGTCTGTGCTTTGTGATGGCTTTCCTGGTCCTACTTTGATAAAGGATGAGAGTTGTAGAGGGGCTCCAGGCCTTTTGTTCATAGAGTCATTATGAGTCATGCTCAACGCGAAAGCAATCAAGAACAACAACATGCCATACAGGCACTTTATCTCCTCAGGGACCCTCACCCTCACCCACAGCAGAGCGTGTACACACTTATCAGAGCAAGTGTCTAATTTTTTTCTAATTCCTGGGAGACTCCCCATTGGACCTATGCTTCATCCAGGAAGATTCCTAACAACACGTCAGCTTTAATTATTATCTTTGTTCCTCTGTATATAGTATTTCCCCTTTCCCCTGCAGATTGTTCCCGAGATTTTCTTCATCACTGATTTTAATAATTTTAATGTGATGATTCTTGGTGAGGTTTTCTTCAAGTCTCCTGAGTTTGGGCTTTAGATTCTGTTTATGTTGTTGTGTACTGTGGAGTAGGAATTGCCTCATAGCTGAACGTGAGTTTTCAGAGGCTTTAAACAGCCCAGGAGGAGACTGCTCATCTTTTCCCCTTGTAGAAGGTGCTGGATTTGAACTGTATGCCTTTTGAGTTGGAAGCACATCTTCTTACTATTAAGCCACCAGAGCTAGTGTCTATGACAGTTTGGAAAACTTCTTTCCATTTTTAAAAATTTTTATTATTCTTTATGTTTCCCCTTCAGCCCTGACCTCCACTTTTTGGACTCTACATCTACCTACAGTGCTAAAAAACATCATTATTATAAAATTAGGACAAATTTATTGCTAAGCCTGCAGTGGGCTTTTGGAGGCTGTAAGCCACGTAAGAGGTGATTGCTCATCTTTCTCCCAAGGAGCTGATGGTGGATTCAAACTGCCAGAGACACACTCACTGGCTTTGGTTTAGCAACACAAGTCCCTGCAGACCACACTGGTGCACCATCTTACAGATAATTACCCATATTACAGTGGTTGTTACGTGCCATCAAGTCACTTGCAACTCGTAGTGACCCTCTGCACAATAGTTCTGGACCCTGCTCTATTCTGAGTCAGTTACACTGTCTCTGACACATTTACCCTCATTAACCTAATTCTGTATAGGTTAGACAAATTAATACTGTTATATAATTCCTCTATTCTCTCTGTGTTTCATTTGGACAGTTTGGATATATTTTCACATTGACTAAGCTGTCCTTTTGCAGTTTCTAATTCTTAGGCTGAAGGAATTGAAGAACCAATTCAAGCCTCGAGTTGCAATACTTAAAGTTGCTATGGGCAGAATATGGAATTATACAGGAAACATCAAAAAAAGATGGGAGCAAGGATCAATGGTGATTAATTTTATAAAACATAACCCATGAGAATGATTATATAAAACACAATGTGAATGAAGAATAGTGTAAAACACAATGTCTATGAACTTTGGAAACAAATCAATAAAAAAAGAGAAAATTGAAGGAGTACATAGTACATAGTCACTGCACTCAAAAGAATTTAATAAAACAACATATGATCAAGTGGCAATGGTGATGAAAAAAAAAGTTCAAGGTGCTTTGAAGGAATCTGCAAAAAAACAAAGCCCTAGAAATTGATGGAAAACCCACTGGCATGTTTTAATAAACAGATGCTGCCCTGGACATGCTTACCAGGTTGTGCCAAGAAATCTGGATGACAACTGCCTGGCTAGAACTGACTGGAAGAAATCCATTTTTATGCCCATTCAAAAAAAGTGATCCAACACAGTGTGGATATTACCAAACAATATTACTAACATCACACACAAACAAAATCCTGCTGAACATCATCCAAAAATGACTGGAGTAATACATTAACAGAGAATGATCAGAAATACAAGCTGGATTTAGAAGAGGCCATGGTACTAGAGACATTATCACCAATGTCAGATGGATCTTAGCTGAAAGTAGGGTACCAGAGGAATGTCTATCTGTGCTTCATTGACTAATGCAAAGGCATTTGACTATGTGGATCACAATAAATTGTGGCTAACCTTTAGAGAAGAAGAAAGAAGAATCCTAGAACATCTGATTGTGCTCATGTGAAACCTATACTAGGACCAGGAAGCATTCCTCAGAACAGAGCAAAGAAACACTGCATGGTTAAAAATAAAAAAAGGAATGCACCAGTAATGTGTCCTTTCTCCATAACTTTTTAATCTATATGTGGAACCGATCATCGGGAGGCTGGGCTTTTATGAACCAACAACCTATGTTAAGCAGATGACACAATCTTGCTTGCTTTAGTGGAGGAGGGCCTGAAACATTTGCTGCAGAAGGTCAAGGACTTTAGTCATCAACATGGATTGAAGAGCAACATCAAGAATACAAAGATTCTCACCACTGGGCCGATTGGCAATACTATGATAGAGAAGATTGAGATTATAAACAATTTCATCTTGCTTGGGTCCACAATCAACCTTTTTGGTGTCAGCACCTAGGAAATCAAAAGATGAATTGCATTAGGAAAATCTGCTGATAGGGATCTCTCTAAAGAGCTGAAGAGCAATGGTGCCAGTCTAGAGATTAACATGCACCCAATCCAGGCCACGGCCTTCACAATTACCTACTATGTTTTAGCCAGCTGGACAATTGCTAGGGATGACAGAAGAATTACTGATAGCTTTGAGTTATGATGCTGGAGAAGAGTATTGAACATACCATGGACTGACAAGAGAACAAAACAGATCTGTCCTGGAGAGGGTGAAACCTAGTTGCTCTTTGGTTCAAGAATTTTGAGGGTCTATCTCACACACTTTGGGCAAGTAGCTATGAGGGACCACTACTTAAAGAAGGACATTATGCTTGGAAAGGTGGAGGGACAGTACAGGACAGAAAGACTCTGGATGAGTTGATACAGTAATTGGATTAATGGGGGTAGGTTGTCAGAGATAGTAAGAATGGCTCAGGACAGGGCAGGGTTCAGAACTATTTTGCATATGATCACTATAAGTCACGGTCAATTCGATGACACATAACAGCAACAACAAAAATCTGCTGTTAATCTCATGTAGTGTCATTTTCATGGTTATTTTTATCCCTCCAAGTTCAAGTCGAGTCTTTTTTAAAAAAAATACTTCCATTTTTTCTCTTGCTATGATCATATTTTTCCTCTAGCTTACTTATTAGTATATTGATAACAGATGGTGATATGATGTGACCATGGCTTGTAACACTGATTGTTGGCAAGATACTTCCTCAAATAGTTCCATAGATTCAATGAAATCCAATAAAATTCTAACCCATCCCCTCTAATTTCTAGACAGTGGCTAATCTTGCTTGCTGAAAGTGAAGAGGTCTTGAAGCAAGCAGTGAAGAACATCCTTACAACTGCATCAATAGGTAACATTATGATAAATGGAGAAAAGCTTGAAGTTGCAAGTGATTTCTTCTTACTAGTTGCTATAATCAGCCTCTATGAAAGTAGGAGTTAAGGAAAAAACACATCACTTTTCCATGGAGGAAAAAAAGAAATCAAAAGATATTAGAGTGGGAAACCTCTGCCAGAGACCTATATAAAATGTTATAGACCTACATAATGTTATATAGGTGTCTGGTAGACCTATATAATACTTTACATGGAATATAATTCAATGAGATAGACTGATACAGTTACTACAATTGGTCCAGAACATATGGAATATTATGTGTAATTCTTATATAAAATTAGAAAATCCATCAGTAAATCAGCAATCAACGTCAAGTCACTGGGAGCAAAGGTGCACACACTGGCTTCTATAACATTTTTGTAATGCCATATATTGAAGTTAAAGTCATAAATATACTCCATGAAATCTAATACAAGTATTTGTATGAACCATAGCTAAGATTAATTTTTCAGAGTTTTGAATACTTATACTTTCACTTTTATAGCTACAGCTATAAACATTGGCAGGTTTTCCCAATTATTGATCCCACGCCGTGGGCATACTGCCACCAGAGGGCAATGGTGCACTATCATCTCCCAGTTAAAAAGGCAGCCTGAGTTGTAAAATGGTGACATGAAGTTCTACCACAGATATGACCTTCGTTCCGGTCTTAAGATAAACAGAAAAATGATCTTTGCTCTAAACAAACATAAATGGCAAATTCTCTGGGACATTTAAAAACTAATTACATTTCTATTATGCAATTGCCTCTTAATATAGGAAATACTTTATCCTTTAACATTTTTTTTTCTATATAGAGAAAAAGAAAATTTATAATCCCATCCCTACCATATCATATGGAACTCTGGTTGTTTAGCGGTAAGAAGCTGCACTACAATTCCAAAGGCCCATGGTTCTAATCCGTCAGTAACTCCACAGAAGAAGGATGGGCAGACTCCTCCTGCCTTGTGATTTATTGCCTTTTAAAATCTGCAGGAGGGTTGGCTCTGGGTTGGTTCTGATTAAACCAAACACAATAACACCACCATGACATAGATAATGATTTTTATTTTCCTTGTGTCTTTTACTAAAATCATATTAGATGTGGGTATTTGACAATTAAATCCCTTTTTATTTAATGAAAATTTTTTCCCATACTGCTAAACTCACTTAAGAGTTTGTAAAGCAGTTTTGTTGTTGTTCAGGGCTGCCGAGTTGAGTACCACTCACAGAGACTCTGTGAGAACCAGATCTGAACCTTGTCCTACCCTGCATCCTTATCATCCCTGACAGGGCTGAGCCCACATACAGTTTAGCAATCCATCTTGTTGAGGGTCTTTCTCTCTTTCTGCTGATTGTCCATCTTTCCAAGAATGATGTCCCTCTCCAAGGAATAACTTCTCCTAACAACATGCCCAAAGTATATGCAACACCATCTTTGTCTCCAAGGAACACTCTGGTTGCACTTTCTTCAAGAAAGTGTTTGGCAGGTATTGGGATAT